CTCTAAGAACACATAGACAAGTATGGCATGCCATCTTCAATTAATCGATTTAGATTGATTGTAATCAGGGTTAAGGATAAATGTTTGTGTTCTTTCAAAATTTATAAAGCACATTATGAAATATTACCCAAGGGTGCATGCTAGAGGTTACCGACCGTTTGAATACTTGACGGCCCTGTGCTTTTTTCTTGTGCATAATAGCGAGTAAAGTGAATCTGTCAGTTTAACACAGTAAATTTTAATAACAGTTATATTGTAATTCTTCGGGTTTAAGTTTGTTTTAGGTAGGCCTCCTACCTAAATTTTATAGCAGAGGCAGTGCTAGTCACAGCTTAAGTTGTGTAGAACAGGCAAAGCCCTCATCGCTGTTATTCATTGGACCAAAATTGCAGGAAAATTGGCAATAATATGTGTTTTTGTAGGTGCCAGGGGGATTAGTTCTAGAGCACAGGTGGGCAATGTGCGGCCCGACAGTGATTTTTTTTTGCGGCCCACAAAAATGAATTAAAAATCCTATGTGTGCGACCTGCCAACTTTTTGACTAGAAAACACCTTGTTTTTTATGGCCCGACACCGATCATCTGTAAAAAGTGATGTTAAAACCTAGAATAAAGTGGTATGAAAGCAGTGCATGAAGGTTTTTGGAAGCACACTGTAAACATCAAAGTTTGGGTGCGGCCCTCGGTGTTTTTTTTACCCACCCCTGTTCTAGAGCCTCTATCGGGCAGCTCCCCTCACCGTTGGGTAAATCTTGGCATGGTTATTGTGGCTTAAGTCCTAGGTTGTTCTTTTTAGACCTTGATTAGACATTTTAACTTTAAACATTGTTGTTCATTTTTCTGCTCTTCTGTATAAACCCACTACCAGAATCAGCTTTTCATGTTCAAGGAAGGTGTGCTTATAGCCGAGTAACTACAGTAGTTATAGAAAGCTTCCTCTTTTGTAAACTTTCTGACACAGCCAGCCACACGAATACGCTAATTACATTAAACTGCTACCTTGAATTTTCAAAAGTGAACAAATACCGGAAGAAAACAGAGATGCACCGACCAAGAGAGCTGTAAAAGTCATACAGTAAACTGTTTTTAGTTAATTTAATGATCTCATAAAACATCAATTTGATTGACCAACTTCCAGCAGTGGTTGTCTTAACGCGGTCACATCTATCGCCACGGGAAACCGTCAGTAAGAAGCCGCGGATGATGGACCGCCAAGACGTTTGTAGTTTGATATTGGAAATACTCTTAATGAAGGAGATGAAAGCAATTATGATGGTGCTAGGCTACTTGTTTTTATCCGTGATCAAGGTCTTAAAATTTAACAGAATTAAGTAACAAAATTGTTATCAACTACAAGCATAAATTAACCAAAAAAGATATTTTTTAACAGGTATTTTTAGAATTTTATTGATTGATTAATTGATTAAATGATTGATTGATTGATCATGTAAAATAAATACATTTATTACATTCATAATGCATGATCAGTGGTATTTAAAATATTTTCTGTATTGATTTCATTTGCATATAAAAATTGAAGTATTCAAAATATCGTTACCGTAAACCATATTAGTATATAAAATTATATTATATTTTACTGTTAATAAAACAATATTTAAAAGTAGTAATTAAAATTTGACTATGGGAGAAAGGAAAGATAAAATATGGAATTCATTAACCAATTACAAAAGAAAAATTATTTTCCCTTATGGTTACATTTATGAAGACTAATTTCAGATATCTAATCACAGAAATTAATATATTAATTTTAATCTGCAAAACAGAGATAAAATATTTCATTTTCCTCTCAGCATTAAGTTAATGAAAGAATACAGATATTTCTGGAATAAAGGAATTGTTGATTTCTTCCTTTTTATAAATCTTGTAATTCATTTATTAAGTACTCGATGGATGAATTACATGCACACTAACACACAGGATGTCTTTAAATAACCAAGGAGAACCTTATCTATTCAGACGCTTTGCTGACGTTCTTGAAGCTATGCCAGCAATATGTATGTATGTCTTATCAAAAAACTATTTTTTTTAACAAGTAAAAAAATTCATATTTTCAAGGAAACATAAAATCTGTCATTCCATGTTAATTATCAAGTTAATATATTTCATATATTATAATTTGGGATAATTTTGCTTCATATTGGTCGATCAAACAATTGGTATTATAATAGTCTGGTAGTATTTGCAAGGAATTATTTAATTAAATACAGTATTTCTAATCTGTTGTCCAATATTAAACACTGGGGATTGCTAATATTATTAATTATTATTATTAATATTACTTTGCTGGGTATTTTTACTTTTTGTGACTATAAGTACAAGAACAGTTCAAGAGGGAGCCAAAATATTAAGTCTTTACTTTTGGCTGAGCAATCTGTTAAAATGAAGCTATTAAACATTAATAGCTAATTATATTGGTAATTGTATGACCTCCTGTCTCATAGATACAGATAGAGATTATACCATAGTTCAAACATAGCCATAAATATTATCCCTTTAATTTGTGAACCCTGAAACGATGATTTACGTAGAAATCTCCACAGGCACCGCAGCGGCCTACATTTCCCCTCGCAAACCGACAGAATAATTCTTTATCCATGCAGGAGACAGTAAACCTACAGTATCTGGTAAACCCAAAATATTCATGAACTTTAGAATAGCATTTGGGTGTTACTATTAATTAGTACTGTAGTCAATTAGTTGTTGTCTATGATTAGTACTTTTAAGTTTCATTTTTAAATTTCAAAGTAAACCGTAGTACCTTGAATCTTGGTGTGTCTACTCTTTAATCACTGTATAGTAACAATATATAATTTAGTTAACCTTGCTAATAAAAACTTAGTTTTACGAGCTCTAAATTGATAGGTTATGCTTGGTCTCCCTTTCTGAATCATCTTCCAAGTTAATAAAAAATATTTAAAGAAATTGATAAGCTGTATTCCACTAGAATTAGGATGTTGTTTATCCACAATTTGAATGAAAATGTAAACCAACTTATATACAACCTTGTGTTCATTAGGGCGGAACTACAGTAGGACGTCTTTTGGCTGACGGTGGCAAATCCCTTTATTCAACACTATATCCCTCTGTGCTTCTTGGTATTTACTGTACATTCAATTATTATTTGTTTTAAAAACAATTAGATAATTAAATTTCATTTTTACTTTCTATGCGTTTACATCTGTATGAACCCTGTTTTCCTTTGAAGTGTTATTGAAAAAATCCTAAATTATACCATTTGCTTTCATTTGCATAATTTAAAGCAACAATTATTTCTCTTTTAAAGTAAAAGTAAAGTGAGTAACTCATTGGTTTGAGTCAATTAGGAAATTTGGCCTGGGCCCCTGGGAAACGCACAGTATCGCACCACCCTAATTTATGAATTACTGTATTGTAAGATCCTGGAAGAATATTTTCTGGATTTGTTTTTGTAAAGTTGACAAAAGCCACACAGAACCAACATCTTTTCTGAAAGATGGTACATTTTAACTTATATTTTACTGAATTCGCAGATTGATGGAGTTAAACTTGGGGTACGGTGATCTCCATCGTTCAATGCAAACACATAGGTTTGTTAACTTTAAACCTGAGAATGCAATATTTGTCGCTTAAACCAACGTTGCACTATAATGACCTCAGCTAAAGTTAAATTAATAAATTGGAACATATGATTTCAATGTTACCATTGTAGGCTTACAGTTAAGAATACAAACATGCGTCCTGGTTGGTTGTTGCCTAGGGATTTGCATAAGCTCATATTCATATCTAAAAGACACTGGCCTGAAATAAGTTATGTTTTAAGTTTTAATTTATGATTGCCGCAGGATACATGTATAGAATTTATTACCAGAAGAAGTAGAGAAATGATAAAAGATCATATTTTGAATTATATAAATGAAAATCTTTGGGGAATTACAGCTTGAACATTTTCCGAATGTGAAATAAAGATTTTATTCTCTGTCTGATTATTTTGTCTAGCCAATTTTTGACCAAAGCCTCTTCGAAGGTAATGTCTGACTTCAATGAAGTTTCCGTTGAAAATTACAGATTAGTAGATTAATATACTAATCTGAGTATTTGATAATTGAACGCCCTAACTCCCTGTTTGTACCGTAGGCTTGATTGATAGGTTGTTGTCCTACAAATCTGTAAAACATGTCACTGAATTCACCCCTCTAAGGTCAGTCTATCAGACCCTCGTACACTTCAGCCAGGAGCAATCAGGAAGGATTGAAGATAAATGTATCTGTTAACAAGATTAAAAACAACTTGTTTATCTATGGTACATATGTTACACATGTCATCACATTGATGAGTGTTTTTCACTAACTTGAAGGGTCACTCTGCAAATTCACCATTTAGCCTATGGGAACAAAGTGTTGATATACCTAGCAATCAAAAATTAGACATAATAAGTTCAGGTTGAGTACATAATTTTATAAGAATAAAGTGGATTATCTTTTATGTTTCTCTTTAAATTGTCTTCTTGACTGGGAGTAGTTGATGAGTGATATTGTTCTTGGTTATTAAATGCATTATATGTAATTTGTAATGTGTGTTGTGTACAAGTCAAAACCAGGCGTCTACAGTTTGTTGACAGTCCCTGGTGCCTTAATAATTGTGGCCGCATAAAACACAACCTCAAGAAACTTTGATTCACTAGAGTGGCAACAATCTTGTTCTCACTGAAAATTGCGGCAAGAAGGTGTATGGCTACTGGCTAGTAATCAAGATAAGCTATACCTTCCCTGTGGATGACTTATGCAAATATATAAAACTTTAAAGTCTAGACTTCAGATTCAATATGTAAATTCAAAACAAAATGAAATTCTTCTAGATTCGTTGATTTATTTCTTTCTCTTTCATTATTTATGTTAAAAAATATATAATGCAATATGTTTTTTAAAATAAAAATATATTCTTAAATATCTTGATAAAATATCAATACTCTTTGCATGAAAGCATTTCTATTTTTGTTGCTAGGTTGCCCAACATGTGTATCCATTAAGGTTGTGGACATGACAAGTGCCTTAGAGGTTGTTAAACTCTGCCTGGAACAACTGAATAAAATCGAGGATCCACGATTGTACAGCGTAGTTGAGGTGTGCATCTCCAGTGCAGATAAAGATAGACGTAAGTATTTCAATTGGTCTTGTATTCATATCTAATAGTGTTTGAATATTTATGGCTTTACTGATTGATCATACAACATATTTAGAACAATCTAATTTTTTATACGTTGGTGTCAAAGGCAACATGAAACTATTCTTCTTAACTAAGCCTTAATAAAAAAATATATAATTGTTTGAGAAAATGGAATTCAATCAGGATTCGAACCTAAGACCTTTTTATTACTGTTCAGTTACTCAAATAACTGATCTACAATGGTATTAGGCCTTGCTGGTGTACTCCCAAGAATGAAACTTACAATAAGCTATAATGACATTGGATTAATTTTGACTAAGAGAAGGGTACTCATTTTTATTTATTTATGGATTTTTTTTTTAGAAAAAGTACATTTTAATGTTTTCTGTGTTTATTTCCTACATTAATTTTGACTCAATCTTACAATCAAGAATAATTTAAAGTGAAACTTTCATAAATTCTAGCAGTTGAAAGAAGATAAATATACGAATGTCTATAACTAATGTCGTCCCATAGCGCAAGCCCTCTGTTGCGATTACCCCTCGCATAATCCCACAGCACAAGCGCCCTCGTTTTACCTCTGTTACGACAATTAACTGAGTAGGAAATCCATTTTGATGTTAAATTTAGTAAATTTTAAATTGATTTAATTTTGTCAGCAGTAAACAAACATTACATTTAAATGAAACAAATGTTACATGTAATATTTTCAAATTTCATTTAGTTTTAACATGTGTTTGTTGTTGATTGCTTTTAGCATTACCTCACTTTTAGTTCATTTTTTCCTTTCCTTAAACCCAGCATTAGACTGTTCAGGTAATTATTGGAGTTATATAATTATTTATTATATTCTTCGGAATTTTGTTTGTTAATTTACTGTACAAAGCATGTGATATATTTCTTTGACATTTACAATCAAACGGTAAAAGGTGTAGTAATGTAAGATGATTATAACATATAATATAGAAATTTATCACAATTTCATATAAAGCAAGCAAGACAAAATTGTACATTTTGTTAAACCTTTATCGCCATTATTCAGCTTGCCAGAAAGTTTAATAGAATTACCTGCCCAATATTGTCGCACCTTTTGGGACAGTACTTACCTCTATCTGCCTTTAAGTGTTTGTGTGGTTAATCCAGAAAGGATGTCTAATTATATCTACTGTCAGTTTATTTGTATTAAAATCAAGGAATTTTATATTGAAATAACATTAATGTTTTGATGTTCATTGTCAATAATGATATTGCTATAAAACATTTTATTTGTTTTATTATTTTTTTATCATAATTTATACATATATATAATATTAATAATTTTATCCTTTTTATATCATTTATTTTAAGTATTTATCTATTTCAGTTTATCAATTTTTACCAGCATGTCTTATTGTTTCTTAGTTATATCTTTAATTTGATTTGGTTTTCTTCCAAGAGGATTGTTGTCTTTATTTTTATCAGTAATTTTACCCTTTTTTTCTCCAACTCATGTCTGTCTGCCTTAGTAAAATAATAATAGTAGTATTTTTTTTATTTTTTTTTTATTTTTTTATTTTTTTTTAATGATGATTCATTCACTTAGTTGTGCATACATTATTTATATTTTTGGTCTGCCAGACTAAATAGACATTGTTTAATCAAACAATATTTGTTAGTTCCCCAGGTGCCTGGAATCGATCAGCAAATTTTGTCACCGTCCCAACCCTTCTTGAGACACCGGCATAGTTTTGGAAACTTCTGATCAACCCAATTGGCTATTGAAATTTGTAGAATTCTCTATTTCATCATGTTCTGTTCAAAGATTGTCTAACAGACAAAAATTTGATAATGTATGCCTAGCTTTTAATTTTATTGACAATTTTTTTGTGATTTGCCCATATATGGTTATGTTTAAGTCATATCCCACCCAGATATGTGCATACCATACCCAAATATGGTATTTTTCGTATAATATTTGATAATGTGAACAGACTTACGTGTGTACTTGTTGCTTTTATTAGTATTTGAATTTCGTTTTCAGTTGCTGACCGAGAGCTTGGTAGTGAAGAGTATCCCCTTATAGTACAAAACAACTGGCACAATGCTACCTCCTACCACTTTGAACTGCGACAACGGGAAGCACAAGGGGGCACAATTAAGGTAGACTTAATACTAATTTTTATAGGTTTTTGTATATAATTTCTTAATATTATTTCTTATTTTAAACAATTTTAGGCCTAACTGTTAACTGGACCTTAGGATGAACAATGTAAATGAAACAAAAATATATATTTAAGGATATTTTATATCATTTTAAATTTAATCTAATGTTTCAGTGATGATGAAATACTAGTTTATGAACATTATTAGGTCTGTAAATTATTATTGTTAGGCATATATTTACATCATATTATTAATGTTACTTCTATTGTTGTACTTACTCATCAGATTGTGTATCGGATAGCAGGACACAACCCAAAGGGCAAGCTGGTAAACGTTTCCCTGTCAACTCCTGTGAACGAAGTCCTCGCTTTAGCCCTCAAGAAGTTTGGCATGAAAAATGCAGACCCTAGGTTATTCTGTCTCCTGGAGGTTGATAAGATTGGAGGTAAGCTAAACCCACAAATCTGCCCTTGTTCTAATTACCCTGGGCTGCAAACCACTCAGCTATAACTAGCCAGTGTCTTAAAATTCCCTTACTACTTTCGCAGAGGGCACAAGTTGCTAGAAGTTTGGTTTAAATGAGCTTTCTTAACACCTTATTGTAATTCTTATTCTTATTCTTTATTTGCTAAAAAAAAAAAAAAGTACAATACAATGGAGGAATACATACAGATTACAAGTACAATAAATTGAATGAGTTGGCAACAACACAAAAGCAAACTAAATCACTAAAACACAAAGTCTGTGAACCTCACTCATCCAGTTTAACATAAATACAATATTATAAATAAAAAAGGACAGTTACAATAAAATAAAACAAAATTAACAAAATACTGAAAGCATTATCTAAGTGGAGTACAAAAATAAATAAAATATGAAATCATCGATCAGAAATCATTTTAACTTTAAAGAAATTAAATCCAAAAAAATATATATAAAATTAATTAAATATATTTAGAGAATTATGATATTTCAACATAAAAATGGTATAAATAAGATAATTCTAATGTAAAACAAATTTATTTCCAATACTTTGTGAATTAAGGGTTATTATGAAGGACAAGTTGTTTAAGTTTATTGAGAAAGATGTGGAAAGAGTCATCAAGAAAACAGTTTTTGAGATCATCAGGGAAATCATTGCAAAGTCTGGGGAATTCATAAATATTTGATAGGTGAAGGCAATCGGTTTTTCACAAAGGTGTCTGAAACGCAATACCTCTTGGTGAGGGATATTGACTACAACAAATGGACGAATGCTGTCACAGTCAACATGGCCCATAAGAGTTTTACACACAAATGATGCGAGTAGATATTGTCTGCGACATAACAGACGAGGCCAGGAAAATTTTGTTAACCGTTCGTCATACCCCATATCTCCTATTAATATATTTATTTGCTCTGGGAGAAATTTAATAGAGTAGTAAAAACTTGCACACATTCTTAATTGGCGTGAGATGGGTTAGTTTCCAATAGATTTTTGCTTTGTCACAGGAGTGCGAAAGACTATGCTGATTTTCTGGAAATTCCCACGACTCGGGGAAGACCTGGGACCCGTAAATATGCTCTACTACTAGTGACATTAAGCTTCCTTTGTTAGGGCTGCTTCTAACTTGATGTAACTTGCTTGGTGGATTTTTAACTACCCTTGCCGTAACTAGCTTGAGACTTGGTACTTGTACCCCTTAACACTCAGTCTAAATTATAAAATTTTATGTGAGTGACAACATAGTGTTTTATGCCCATATATACAGTAGTCATGATGTGCCTATATATGGTCAAGATGTGATGTCATCATGACCATATTTAGGCATATTACATGTTGATGATAGTTTTGACAGGACTTAAATGTTCTCGATTCTAATTTTAATTATTAGTCAGACTCACATGAGTTTTTGTTTTTTTTTTACATTGTAAGCACATGCTGTTCCGTTTCATATGCCTTTTTGATAATGAAATATCACATCCAGTTGTTTTACACTTCATAATGCTGATGTCAAATTACATACCAGTGTGTTTTGAAACTGATAATAATGTACTGTACTGTTTGAATGTATCTTGTATTATTAAATGTAACATAACACATCTGCAAAACAAATATTGGCAAACACACATACAGTATCCTTTTACTTTTTATGTGGCTATTAAAGCATGCCATAACTAAGATTCTGTCAGTATATTTCTTGGGTATGTTTTCTGTTAATTTCATGAATTCATAAAAGTCATGTGCAATGATTTATCAACATATTTTGTCCACATTGTTGACGTTAATTTGGGTGAAATTTTTGTTTATGGCTTATTATAGTGCTCCTGTGTTGACATACATTTGAATGTTTATTCTCAACAAGCAATTTTTTGTTGGATTTTATCCAATAGTTTTTTTCTTGTTTTAAATGTATCATCTATTGAAAAAAAAACATGCTTAAAAGTTTAACAATGCTGTATTTCATTGGACAAATATCTGATCAAATACTTTCATATGTGACAGCTTAAAGTTTGATATAATATGCTCATGATAAGATAAAGTTCATTAAACATGTTAATTATAAAGCTGCCTTCGTGTCTATTGGATTACTCTGATTAATTATTGCATTACTATATAGGTGTGTTTCTATCTGTTGTGATTCTCATGTAATTAAGTCATCTATTAATATCCTCAGTCAGCTGTTTCCAAGATGACTCAGATAACATTTTTAATTTCCCCAACTCATTTTTTTCATAAGTTCAGCAGCATAAAAAAATACAGAATCATATAATGTCATTGATATACCTGTCACATTCGCAATCATATCTGATAGGTAATGAATGCTAAAGGTAGGAGAATAACTTGCAGCGTCATTGTGCTGGATTGCATACAGGCGTGGTCTGTGACTATGTGGCAGACCTAAAGAAGTGCCTTTATAGCTTCATATTCACTTTATTACACAACAACAGGGGTTGAAATGAACCAGACCATTGACATAACTTCCTACTCTTCCAAAAGATGCAATGAGTTCTTTAAAGTGCAGGGCAACCAGAGGTTATGCTGGACATTTGATTTAAGGTTCTTATCCAAGTTCTGTCACAGAACCCTGGCCGAAAAGCGCCAATATTAAGATTGTATTTACACGCCCCAGATTTACCATTTGCCATTTGACTTGACAGTGATAATAGATCGATAATAGATCTGTTACATCAATATTTTCTAAAATCAAATGTTTAATACCTCTGTTGATCATAACATGTTATCACTTCAATTCCCCCAGATATTGGCAAACACACATACAGTATCCTTTTACTTTCTATGTGGCTATTAAAGCATGCCATAACTAAGATTCTGTCAGTATATTTCTTGGGTATGTTTTCTGTTAATTTCATGAATTCATAAAAGTCATGTGCAATGATTTATCAACATATTTTGTCCACATTGTTGACGTTAATTTGGGTGAAATTTTTGTTTATGGCTTATTATAGTGCTCCTGTGTTGACATACATTTGAATGTTTATTCTCAACAAGCAATTTTTGGTTGGATTTTATCCAATAGTTTTTTTTCTTGTGTTAAATGTATTATCTATTTAAAAAAAAAAAAAAAAAAAAAAATGCTTACAAATTTAACAATGCTGTATTTCAAATATCTGATCAAACACTTCCATGTGTGACAGCTTAAAGTTTGATATATTATGCTCAGGATAAGATAAAGTTCATTAAACATGTTAATTATAAAGCTGCCTTCGTGTCTATTGGATTACTCTGATTAATTATTACATTACTATATAGGTGTGTTTCTATCTGTTGTGATTCTCATATAATTAAGTCATCTATTAATATCCTCAGTCAGCTGTTTCCAAGATGACTCAGATAACATTTTTAATTTCCCCAACTCATTTTTTTCATAAGTTCAGCAGCATAAAAAAATTACAGAATCATATAATGTCATTGATATACCTGTCACATTCGCAATCATATCTGATAGGTAATGAATGCTAAAGGTAGGAGAATAACTTGCAGCGTCATTGTGCTGGATTGCATACGGGCGTGGTCTGTGACTATGTAGCAGACCTAGAGAAGAACCTTTATAGCTTCATATTCACTTTATTACACAACAACAGGGGTTGAAATGAACCAGACCATTGACATAACTTCCTACTCTTCCAAAAGATGTTCTTTAAAGTGCAGGGCAACCAGAGGTTATGCTGGACATTTGATTTAAGGTTCTTATCCAAGTTCTGTCACAGAACCCTGGCTGAAAAGCGCCAATATTAAGATACACGCCCCAGATTTACCATTTGCCATTTGACTTGACAGTGATAATAGATCGATAATAGATCTGTTACATCAATATTTTCTAAAATCAAATGTTTAATACCTCTGTTGATCATAACATTTTATCGCTTCATTCCCCCAGCTACCCCCCCTCCCACCCACAAACCCACAACCTCATTACCTTTTTGATGTTCTACCAACTGAGCTATGAGGCCAAGGGGTATTGGTATACCCTTGAGTTTTCCCATTAGGACACATTTTTGCCAAGGTATTGCATGCTAATGCAATAAATGATATTAAATAAATGTGTTAGTAACTTTAATATATGGAAATGCCACGACTGGTAGTACCTACAAATGATCTCCAAGTATTAGGTAATCATCCTTAGTATGAATGCATAGTGTCTTAGCCTGAGTGTCTGTAACCTTTGTTCCAAACTTAAACAAGACATAATATTGTAACCATTATTATACATCTTAATTCTTTTGTACAGATGTTCACCATACAACTGAAGACTTCATACCTCTACAATCTGACTCTCATGCGTACGTTGTCTGTGACAAGGCCAGCGTAGATGAGCAGTTTGATCTAAAGGATACCGATGAGGGTGTGGATGGGTTGTCAGTGCATCGGAACGATTCAATGTACTCACAAGCTTCCTCCAAGATATCTAACTATTCAGGAGTAAGTACTGTAGGAATAGCTTATCTTTCAATTGTTAGTCAGGTTGATATTTTTAAATAAAAGTGGTTTTTGGAAATTTGACATTGCAAATGCACCATTAGCGAGCTTGTATAGAAGGATGACTGCATAGTTTACATACAGGTGTTATGCAAATTAGCATTAGTTGGAATCAGGGTATACTGTAAGTAATGTAGTATCTGTCATACTCAACAATGTTTGATCAAACTTTGTTTAATAAATTAGATCATTGTCTGACTTCCAACACTCATAAAAATATACACAATTTGTTTTTAGTCAGATGTGTCTGAAACAAGTATCAGGGATTGGAGAAAGCCAGTTCTGGGAGATCTGGTTAAATAAGCTTTCTTTAAGCCTGTTTTCCACAAGGCGAATTTATTCGTGCGAAACGAAGGCGCTGGTTCAGTTCCTGATCTCTGATTGGTTGCGCATTGTTTTTCACTTCGCAAAAAGTAGAAACAGTTCGAACTACCGATTTAGTTGAAGCGAAAACTATGATAGAAATGTAAATTCACATGCATGAACCGACACCTTCAACTCGCGCGAATAAATTTGCAAGTGGGAAACAGGCGTAACATCTAATATTATGTTGGTGTATGTAGCGATACCCATTGCTAGCTGCCTTTTGGTAGACAATTGATAATACATTAGCAAAAACATACAAATATATGAGTTTTCTAGGAGGTTAGTTTCCTGGAGATTTTAGGTATACCAATTTTCAGGAGACTCCCTTTGACTCTTAGTAGCCCTGGTACACCTCAAGTAAGCATTATCAAACAAAGTGTTATGAACCAATTGTTTGAGTTTGACTTTCTGAGTTTTTTACTGGTTTAGATGTGAATGCTGCATAACACTTTATTCATTATCAAGCATTTTTTTGTGTTTGTTTTTTTCAAGTTTCATAGGGAGTTGGTGGTGTGCACTAAGACTTGCATTTCAAGTGATAAAGAATTTGAGAATGTGCCTCAACATTTTTACACTATCTCTTTTTTAATAGGCCATTATAAAATTATTTTTTCTGCAAATTACTATACCTAATGTGAAAACTGTACATGCAGTGGTGGCACCAGAAATTTGCCAACAAGAGGTCTGAACCAAAGGGACAACGAGAGCCTCCGTTGCCGGCCTAGAGTAAAATATCCCTTGTAGACTTCAGGAAAGAGTTTTTCTAGAATATTTCTAGTATGGTCCAAAATGTGCTTTTAGAGAACAATATTAGGGATTGGCAATCAAAATAACATTATTTTGATAGGCAAATTCTTTTCTTTTATTTTTTTTTTTGATCCGACAATCTAGTCATGTGTCGGACGACAGGGGGTCCAGGCCTGTCCGACGGTTGGAAAATTCCACCTGCCCCGCTGGCACCACCACTCAGTACATGTACACAAATACACATGCGCTTAATTGTTGTCTATTGTTTGTATGTTTGTTCGTTGTGTATTACATCAGTTATATTCTTACAGGCCAGCCTCGGATCGTCCGTAGGCTCTGATTCGTTGATGCCTACTATTAACGATGAAAAACTTTCACGTTTAGAGGAGGAGGTAAGGGTTGAAACGACAAACACAATTGCATGTTGCCATGGAAATCAACATTTCCTTCATTGTAGTAATAATAGTGGTAGTGGTCATGTTATTGTGTTTTTTTTTTTTTCATTTAGCATGATTTGAAAAAAAACTTGGTTGCACTTTTTTGCTTTAGCATGTCATTATCTTAATCAGCCTACTGCACCTCAATCATATCTTTTTCAGGGGTATATGCATGTTTAAGGTATAAAATATGTACATTTGTGCACATGTATAACACTATACATACATACATGTGTAGATATATACAGTACATATGTATATAAGTGTTTATACAATGCATATATATTTACATGTGTATGTTTTACAATACATATACATGTACATAACTTGTGTCATTATGTTAAACTTTATATATTATGTTTGCCACCTTGTATTTTAATTCATTTCATGTTGCGCATATATATATATGTTATCATTTTCACTATCAATAGTAAAAATCATCCGTTTTATTATATTTGGGTTTTGTTTAATTCAGTTGTTCTTTTTTTTCTGTTATCACTTTATATCCATGCTGAGTAGTTTGGTTTCATTTGAGTTTTTAAGTAACAGTCATAATCATTATGATTTTTATTAATTGTATAAACTTTGGCACATAAACTCCAGTTAATTCGACTCAAGTAACAATTACTACATCATTGTGATGGGATACCCCGAACAAAAGCCAAAAATATTGCTATTTTTTGATGTAATATTATATAATTTTACATTGTTTTATATCAACAATATCTGTTTGAATTATTTAAATAACTAGGTCAAGTGGTCAGAAATAAATTGAATTTGACATTGAAATGTAGGTGACCCATTTATGTAGCATTATTTTAATGTTAAGTCCCTCGGAATGATCTTAACCCATTTATTGTCCCAGTATTCTCCTAACGTACCTTCAGAGTTCACCATGTTTTTTTTTTCAAATTAAATTTTAATAAATGATGAGCTTGTAAATGATACCATATGAAATCCAACGTTAGACACATCATCTCAAAGGTACAGTTGGCGGAGCCAGCTAGCTTGTCATTCCCCGGAGAATAACACTTTCATAGTAAATTTGGTAGAAGAGACAGCAATGTGACCCCCTTGGGAAATGGCGTTTAGGGTGGAGAAAAATTACAGCTAAACGGAAAACAAGTGTAGAAATTCTAGTGTCTCATTAACATAGACACAAAATATTAAAGTAAATGATTCTATACCCTAGGGAAAATATGACCTTGCTCCCATCAATGGTAGCTAATAAATATAAAATGCCATAAACCCATTAAAACTTAACTCAATACCATCAATAATTAAAAATTACATACCAACTGTTGCAGCATTTATATTTTTTGATTGAACAGAAAGGTCAGAAAAAAGTCACAGGTGAAAGCCTTTATGTCATTACATATTTTTTATATACTTTGTGTGAGTAATGCTTTTGAGGTTGAAAATGATTAATGCGTAAACGTGCATGTGAAATTCTCGGCAAATTCATTTCATCCGCTTCATGTCACCGATACTTTTTTGACAATACAAATAATATATGAATGGTAATCGTACCAACTAACACTGCATGATATAAGGAGATTATATATATAAATGCAATGTATACAATTCATCTGCCTAGTATTTTGATAGAGTGAGATATGTTCTATTTTAATACTATTTTTGGATGCTTTTAGTCAAGTTTTGATGTCTGTTTGAATTATTAAATGCTGTTTTCTCACTAAAGCAATGTATCTGTCCTAAAGATTTTACTTTAAAAAAACTCAAGGAGAAAAAAAGATTAAAAAACAGATGCATATAATAACTACCTTCATTTTAGGTATGTGAATCAGTGACAAATTTAATTTTTAATCTGCATTAGAAGTTAATTAATTGATTTAAAATAAAGTTAGATATTTAATTATCAAATAGTTTTATCTGGATATTTAAGGTTTTAACTAATTTTTGAAATTCAATTATTTGAAGAGAAGCTTCAATATATATTTTTTAATCTATAATTTATGATAGTATACATTATAATTTTGTTTCTTTGTAATGAATAAACTCAGAATTAATCATAATTTAATATTATATTATATTAACAATCATCCTATAATTGTCAAATCCTTAATCCTGAACATTATTATCTTGACTTTAAAAACTTGATAAATAAATCAGATTCTATTATTATAATTGCTAAATTTACATGTATCAATTATATTGATACTAACCAATTAATGGTTACTATATTCAAAACCTATTATACTTCGGTATCTATTTTAGAAAAATATTTATTGTTTATCATACTTGTTTCATTAGTATTGTTTCACTAATAGATCCATTCCATAATTATATCTAATAGTTTTTATGTTCTTTGTTGAGCTAATAAATGGTACAATGTAAAGGCAATTTTTTCAGTAATCTTGAACAAATTTCTGTAAATCTATCCAGGAAAATCCCAAGTGTCATATAAACTTGTTGATATAATCATTGTGAAAGTGGTTTCGTTTCATAATAAGTGTGGACGACGCTCTCATTCTAAATCGTGACTCTGGGTTTTTCAGATGGCTAACATTGAACAGTCGCTGTTAATTAAACCGAAGATGAAGAGGGTCAGCTCTCCCGAGAAAATCACGGTTTCTTCTACGTCTACTCTCAGTAAAACACAAGAGGTAAGAACAGCGACTTTAACATTCTGTACCGAATTTTCTTGGTTTAACCTTTATAATATGACCTTTCATAGCCCATGTTGTTAGAAGTGATCTGGATAATAATAATGATTGTTCACCGAAATGTCTCATACATCCACATGGGGCTGTGGTAACCTAAATTTTGGTACAAGTTTCATTCTTAGGCAGGCCTTAGTTAATCTAATATAGCTAGGTGTGTGAAATAACTCAACTTTAGTTGTCAAAACATTGTTAGTATTTCCAAATGTAATCGGTTACTCAGCAAATTTTTCAGATCACAATATTTTTTGAAATTTTTATTTTTATCATTATTATTTATTAACATTGGAAAATTCTCAATGGACTTGCTCTACCCATGAAGGAAATTTCTCCATGCTCTACCATAACTTAGCAACCAAATCTTCATCTCATGATTCAATATTCTTCATCTACCAAATATTTACTACACATTCCAAAATCTAATCCCATATCATTTGGTCGTCAGTTTTTTTCATCAGCATTTCCATTTGCATAGGTTATTTAATGACTCAAAATCATAATAAAAATAGAAAACATGAACTTCGATCGTGGTAATTGGGAGCTCGATAATTGGGTCATTTTTCTATGACTATGTGAATTTCTTTTTTTTTCTATAGGATATGAACGAGCTGGAAACATACCAGAAAGAATTGCATGAAAGAGAAACAACAATTGAAGTCTTGCGCTATGAGAATTTAAGATTACAGGATAAAGCTAAACAGGTAACGTGTTGCCTTATTCTTCACCTGTATAAATGCAAGTTTATATTTAAAGCCAAACTAAAAGAATAACATGTTTCTCATTTACACTCATTACTTTTTTCTACTTTCACAAAGTAAACACCATAAAGATCCTTTAAATTCAAACACCCTCAAAACAAATGACTGTCCATGTTTTTGTATATGTATGTCGATGTGTATGTATATATACTGTACATATACATATATATGAGAATAATTAAGTGTTCTATAGTCCACATGACCCGTTGCTATAATTTCTTGTTTCAACGCATGTTTATACGAGTGGTGACATTTGCCATCTTTTGAAGGTGGAGGGAGTAAACATCTTTATTTTCCTTCAATAGAAACTGAGACAAGTAATAACATATATGTTAATTGTGCTTTGTCCTAATATAAATGTGTATGCATCTAGTCTTGTATACTTCTAGTCTAGTCTTGTAGTATCCATACGCTATCTGTTTCATTCAGTGTTTACTGTACGGAGTCTGCTAATTATTTTATTTATGTTTGTATTCTTATTGAAATGAAACTTTTTACTTAAGTGATCTTTCATGCTAAGAATAAATATATGTTGAGACGTTTAACTTTTATTTACGTTGAATAAACTTTTCAATTTAATATGCCCACTAGTATAAATATAACCTTTATATAGACTCATGCACAATATAAATGTGTATGTATCAATTTTGAGTTTGCTTCATAAGTGAAACTAACTAATGAAAACTAAGCATAAATATAATGTTGAACATTTTTCTGCCTTCAAATAAAGAGTTGGAAAGTCCCATATGTTATTTGGTGAAAGGTTAATTAAAACACTATTTTAAAAATTCTCTGAACTCTTAAAAATAATCATAAGCATTAAGTATATATATATATAGATATTTTTATAATTATGATGTGTTTTTGTTAATTTTTAACTTCTTCTTTAAAACTACTCCTAAGATGAACATAGTTAAACCAAAGCAGAACACTGTTTTGGTATTAACTTACAGTGTGCATATTTGGGTCAGGACTACCGTTAAACAGAGATGCAAAAATATATTTGCTTGCTCCTAACAACTAAATGTACTACTGTTTTGCTATTATAGTGTAAAGATGACATTTGCGCCTCGAGGCATTTGATCGGAGGCACAAAAATTTTTTCCAGGCCTGTGCGCAAGGGTGATAAACTGATAATATTTTTATTGGGCCTAATATCAAGAATATAAATATTAGTTGTTGAATTTATAATTTAGTGACTCTGTGTGTATCTGTATTAGCCTTAATACGTAGGCCTTGAACTTCTAATAAATAATGGGGGCAGTTACTCTAGCTGGTACGTACTAGGATTGATTCCCATGCCGATTAACACACGTCCAGTTTCCTTCAGGAGTTTCTGGGGATGACATCATTACCGGGTCGTTCGCAAGATGTTATTAATCATATGTAATATTTTGGTAAGGCCTGGTTTTCATAAAATCGCTACATGCTATAGCCAACGGCTTTTGGCATTGCTGATTTGTAACTCGAGTCACTGCATCAGGGACAGGTACTACGCAGTGTAATCATTGCAGTGCAAACACCATGAACCGGACTTAATTCAAAAAACTGGTTTTACCCCTTTCCCTTAGTCTCATGATCTTGTGAGTGTGAATAATAATTTTAATTATTAGTTATTTAAGAATTTGTGAACAAAATACTTTCTCAGAAGAAAATAATTAAATTATATTTTTAATTGAAACTAAATGTTACATTTAATCCAGTTATCTTGTGTAAAGAGAGTTCCTATCTTAGAGACTTAACAATTAATTATAATAAGAGTATAATCCATTTTTTTCTCAGCAAAAAAATAATTAAATTATTTTTTTTAATGAAAGTAAACTTTCAATTTAACATTAACAGTAATTAACATGTTGTATGTAATCCAAAGACAATTTTTATCATAGAGAGACAGTTTAATCATTTAATAATAGATTTGATATTTGCCTGTATGATTTATAGGAATAGTCCCTACACAACTTTGATCTCAGTAAAATGAACTTAATTCTTTAATTAAATCTAAGCTTTGTATTTAATGCAAACATGGTCACGAGGACCTTGTAATATGCAAACTGAAGACTATCTTAGAACCACAGTGTACATTCCTTATCTCACTTTGCGTAACACTGTCATTTTCATTTTTAACTTAATAGCTCACAGTGGTACAGAAGGCGTTGTCACAGATAGAGGACGCTTTCCAACAGCATGAGAAGGAAGTGAAAAATCGCAAAAAGCTTGATAGAAGTTATCAAGCCGACGAAAGTATTGGTAAGCGATTAAGAGTGAAGAATTTCTTAGTAATGTCATCAAAACACAAAAATAATTATTGTTAACTTAATATGTGTAAAAAATAGAGGGCTAAAAATCCTATGCTTTATAATTTTATTAAACATGTCATATGACATTTAATAGTATGACATGATAATCAATATAATATATTGTTTTTATCATTTTAGACTCTAGTCAGCTTGCTATTAAAGACTTAGAAACACGGTTAGATCAAGTGGGACAAGACATACGATTGAAAGAATCGCGTATCAAACAGCTCCATCAACAGATGAATGATGAAACAGACAATAAAGAAACGTAAGTTTTTAATGGCGCATTTTAAGAAGCATGACTTGAGGTCATCATATTGAATGTATTTGGTATTGTGTAATGTATGAAGATGGTAGGGTTTCACAAGAGCCTGAGAATGATGGAGTTTCAATTAGGCCACAGTTCTATGCACACTCTGCTTTGATAATGTGCATTTCTGATGGTTGGTGTAAGCACGTAACATTTAAAATTTTAATTAATCTCTCCTAAATTCAAAATCTGTGTAATATGTATGTTCTTATTGATTTAATTTGCTTGGGGAAAATCTTGCATGTTGCTTGCAGAATGGAATAGTCAAAATATAATGTGATGAGAATGCTTCTACCTGATTGTGAATGGAATAGTCCAGTTGAATGATGTCACAATGACCACAACCTTCTCATAAGAATTGCAAGTATTAATAAAATGAATTGCATATTTTCCTAACATTTTATTAAAAAACAATTCTCATCTGGCTGAAAACATCTATTTTTGCGAATTTTTTTATATCTTTTTTTTATTTATGAATAAAATATTCAAATGATCTAATTATTTGGCTAACAATACTGTGTATTGAAATTCATTTCCACATTTGGCACAAAATTCATAAAGTAATTCATCAAAAAAAAAAAAACATACTGGCCAAGGGCATGTCAAAAGAATGGTATTCCAACACACAAGTGGTTAACTTTTGGCCAGAATGGTAATACATATAAATATACAACATTTATATATTTTCAAGTAATTTATTTCTTTTTGGGTCTATATCGAAATGAAAATAACCAAAAACAAATAAAATTCAACAAATTTGAATGGATGCATTTTTGACTGCACGATAAGCATGTTGTTTGACGGAGGCATGGGTACTTGCTGGTCATCTGTCCAATCATCAATACTAACTGACTATCCATTCCCTCACGCCAGTCGTGGAAGCAATCATCAGCACAACAACCGGGGCTGGTTATCGTCAATCCGGGCTTACTCCGATTGGCACCCCACATGGAACTCCACATCTGTGCTCAACAAAATTCTTCACTGGAATTCCAGGAATAACGAGAGTACGGAGCGGGAAGCCGAGTTGGAATACAAACTAGCGATGGAGGAGTCGACATTGGTTGCCCTCAAACAGCAGCAGGCTAGTCTGCTCTCCAGACTGGAACTGGCAAAAGCTGACCAAGAAGTGGCTGCAGAGAAGGTTAGTAAATCAGATACACAGTTTAGATTAAGTTTACAATTTAAAAATTGTATTTGGTGTAGATAATTTTGAGATTTTAATCAACAGACATCTTAATTAAAAGTGTTTGGTAATATATTGTCTTTGTATTATTAAGTCGGGCACTTACTGCGTGTCGTAAAACCGCTGTATTACGATACTGACACTGCTCGTCTACTGATTGTCGCTGACAGTCTGAACGGATAGTCATTAAAAATGAACCGTTGAGCATGCGTTGTGGTCCTGCGTTCTTCATAGAATCATTTTGGCTGACTACCATCGGCTCAGTGAGTGTCCGGCTTTAGAATTCTAGAATTCTGCAGATGAAATGTTTGTGAAACAATGTTGTATAGTTGTAGTTATGTAATGTGTTGAGCTGTCATAATTATCTTTGTTGTGCATTGAAACATTAGACGTACTTTGATATTGTCAGATATATTTTGTTATGTGATTGTAAATTTTTAACTGTTGTATTACGTTCTTAGTCACCGTGGCCTTGGGTAAGATCTGAATTTCATTTTCAGTTACTACATAATGTCCCAATTTAGGCTCCTACCTGTAATGTACCCCGCATGAATATTATAGAGCCCTAGTTAATTCCTTTTCTGATATAATATCTTCTTATCTCTTTTTGAAAGAGAAAGTTAGTCTTAATTCTGTGTCTTGTCATCTTTTAATTCTGTTATAGATAATACTTATCATCTATTCAATAAGTGTTTATCATCTTCATTAATTTTATTTCTATAAGCAATCCAAACTCTTTAATTACATTGCCCTCATCGTCTTCACTCAATTATGCACACTTTCATTTTGACACTTCCTGAATTTTTCATTCCAAGCACTTGGTGTGCACTTTAAAGGTACTGACTATCAAAATCCTAATAAGTTAAAACACTAAATTGCTCCTTTAAAAGGGTCATATAAGACAGACACAAATCAAACACCATTTATATTTTTTACTGATTTGACTAACTTTTAATACCAAAAATCCTTAATTGATCAGCCAATTTAAGGAAGAATCTCTTAAAAAATCAGGGATTGTTTTATGCATCTGATAATTAATATCCAAAGCAATTCATGTATTAAATTTTATTTTCCAAGTATATTTTTTTACCTCATAAAGTATATCTTTAGCAAGCATTGCATGCCCTATATTCAGTATTGACTGTGAATTACACAATCAAAACCAAAGTACTGCTTTCGTAAAAGCTCCAGATACAGAATCAGTTTCATGTGAAATAACTTGGAGAAATATGCATGATTATCTTTGATAAGTTTTAAAAACTTTATAATATTTCTTTATGTTTATTCACAATTACATTAATTTTGAAGCAAATTTGAAGTTAATAGTTCAATGTGTTGTCAATACTACCAGCTTGTATATGACAAATGTCTCTGACATGCCCATATATGGCTGTGATATACATCATCATATCCATATTTTTGTATTATATGACATCATCCTGCCTATAATATTATGAGTGATGTGATATCATCCTGCCCATATATAAGTGATATGACATCCAGAACATGCGAGGCATGCATGATGTCAGGCGGAGAAGAAACGCCTAACAATGACATCATCATGCCTATATATGAGTGATATGACATCATCCTGCTCATATACTGTATGATTATATGACATCATCCGGCCTATATGGTTGATTTGCCATCATCCCACCCATATATGAGTAATATGACATCCAGGACATGCAAGGCATGCATGATGTCCGGTGGAGGAACACCTAAGTATGACATCATCATGCCTTTTTATGAGTGATATGACATCATCCTGCTCATATATGAGTAATATGACATCATACTGCCTATATATGAATAATATGACATCATCCTGCCCATAGATGAGTAATATGATATCATCCTGCCCATAGATGAGTGATATGACATCATCCTGCTTTATATTAGTGATATGACATCATCCTGCCCATAGATGAGTGATATGACATCATCCTGCTCATATATGAGTAATATGACATCATACTGCCTATATATGAGTAATATGACATCATCCTACCCATAGATGAGTAATATGACATCATCCTGCCCATAGATGAGTGATATGACATCATCCTGCTCATATATGAGTAATATGACATCATACTGCCTATATATGAGAAATATGTCATCATCCTACCCATAGATGAGTAATATGACATCATCTTGCTTTATATTAGTGATATGACATCATCATGCCCATAGATGAGTGATATGACATCATCCTGCCCATAGATGAGTGATATGACATCATCTTGCTTTATATTAGTGATATGACATCATCATGCCTATATATGAATGTTTTATGACATCATCCTGCCCATATGAGTTTGGTATGACATCTTGCTCATATGAGTGGTATGACATCATTCTTCCCATATATGAGTGTGGTATGATATCATGATGCCCATATACAAATGTGGTAAGACATCTTGCCCATATATGAGTGGAATAGGACAATATCATGTCCATATAAAAAAAAAGAACCCTGAATTATATAAGTTTTTCTTTCCAAGTCATCACCTAAATCACAATAATAAAATACACCCCTATCACTGAGCAGGAATGTATCAAATGTACCATAGCCAGCATCAGGTATCATAACAATGCAAAAGACATAAAAGGATTATCCAGAATAGACCAGAGGCTTGCATATGTTAGGGTCTTTGTTGTTTGCACCTATTAAATAATGTAATAAATAATTTTTCTCTAAATTGCTTCATTGAATTCAATTCAATTCAACTTTCATTTCGGAAACACATATCCACAGCAAGCAATACAATAACAAATGACAAAAAAAGAAATATCAGTAACAAAACTATGCATTCAGAGGTAGGAACATCACTTCCCTAAGGTTCAAATGACCCACATACCTCACCCTAACCAAGTGGTGCATAACAGGGGTAGGGACATTACTCCTTTAAGGTCCTAAAGAACCGCATACCCCACCCTTACTGAACTGTGCATTAATGGGGTAGAGACGTTACTCCACTAAGGTCCTAATGACCCACATACCCCACCCTAACCAAATTATGCTTTAAGAAATTGCTCAAATGTTGATTAATATATTCCTAATTTTTTCTCAATGTGTAGGCTAGAAGTAAACGTCAGCGTGCTCCTGTGTTTCCCGTGCTCTCTTCCAAGCAACACAATCGCCTGGTTACAATGCAGATTAAGAAAGGTGTGAACGGTTACGGGTTCAGTTTAACTACCAGGACTGACCAGAAGGGAGTGTATATTCACACCTGTGATTCAAAAGGCATCATGAAGGTCGGCGACAGGTAAATATTTCATTTCATTATCAACATTATCAATATTTCATATCATATATTTCAACATTAGAAATTACATTGTTGACAAAAGTGTTCAATTGGACAATTAAAATTGATATGCTAAGTATTATTGCCATAGTCAAAACTTGATCAGAAAATTAAGTAGATTGGTACTTTTTTAAACAGAACCAAACACTGAAGTGCCATAGCCTTAAATTTTGTGTCTCCCAACCAAGGCGGGGCTTAGGTGGTCTTTATCCTCACGTCTGTAAAAGTCTCTCCCTGCCCCCCCCCCCTCTCTTTTGAATTCCTAGATCCACAACTGTTAAATTACATGTGCTTTGATTTTAGGTTATATGAAATTAATGGTGAGAATGTCCTGAGGATGCCAATTTCGCAAGTCAATACCAGATTGAATGGAATGCACCAAGTCCAACTTGTGTTACTTCGTACCGAAGAAGAAGAGGATACGTTAGAAAAGTCCAGAGCAGCAATTAAGATGAAGGAGGAACTGAGAACATTGAAAGAACAAGTGCAGATCACAAAGACTGAAAACAAGCGTTTGTCAGAGGATGTGCAAAGGTATGACCCAGATATAAACATGTCTGCTGCCCTCACAGTTTGAGATGTTAACTGTGCCATTAAAATGTACCACCACTTTTTACAATCCCAGACAGTACAGTCCATATAAATATATTGGTATTTCTTAGGATCCGGAGTAAGTTGGTCAGGCTCTCCCCCCCCCCTCCTCAGTGTATGCTGTGAAAATATAACAAATTAATTTTTTGTTATTTCTAGGCTGGTTGAGCTTGAAGACAGAGCAGCAGAAGCTGACAAACTGCGGATTATTGTGAATGAGTTACAGAGCAGACTATCCAACAAGGACAGCCATTGTAATGCCTTATCAGAACAGGTCAAAGAGATCCCGGTTATCCGCGGAAGTCTGAAGCAGAGGCAGAAAGAGCTGGAGAGGTTGGAGATGCAGAGGAATTCTTTTGAGGTACAGATCAAACGGTGCCTTGCATAGAATACCAAAATACTTGGTTCAATCCCAGGCAGCTTTGTTCATAAAGAGATTTAGTTTGTAAATGATACTGTGTTATTAATAGTATTGATAATTATCATATTGATGATAATAATATGAAAAAGCATAAAGATATAAATATCAGTTTACATAATAAACGGACATTTATAATGCGCTGGTATCTTTGTGAAACACATGCAAAACAATTTTGTCATTGTTGTTTTTGTTATTTTTAATATTATGTCACCCTTTTTCCAAAATAAGTCTTGTGAAAAGTTTGGTTGATTGCATGGTTTCCATGTCATCTACAACACACAAAAAATGCTAGATGTATACAAGAACATTAAATATGCAAAGTCAACCCTTATTTGGTAAATATTACCAGATTGGTTCCTAAGTTTTTTCCACATCAAATTTTATGTGACAAATTAATGTGATGTGCCCATATATGGATGTCATATTACCTATATGTGGGCATATCACAGTTTTTTGTCACATAAAATTTGATAGGACAAGCTTAAATAGCAAAGATATTAATAGGTTGATTGACCTCGTTCATTGTTTTGACCTGCTGTGCTACAGTTTCTACATAGCATACAATAACAGTATGTATATGTAATTCAATTACAGATGGTTGTTATGACAACTTGTTTTTAAAAAACGTTGTTTTTTTTTTCTTCTTGTAAAGGCTGAAACCGTTCAGCTATCTGAAGAAATAACCAGAATGAAATCAACATCAGAGTACAAGGTAAGAAAAATACAGATCTTACTTATAACATTGAATACAACTATTCAAAGTAGTTACTAATATAATTGTATTAAGGCCAACTCAGACAGCGTCCTACGACGCAGCCCAACATGATTCATCGTCGGGGATTGTCTTAAGCCATTGTGAGAAATATTAAACATGTTTAGTATTCTACGACATGACTGTCCCTGATGCAAAACATTGCGACTGAATTTAACTCACAAAGACCTGACACAGCATCAAATAGCGTCGGGCTACGTTGTACACCGCTGTCTGAGTTGGCCTTAAATGTTTACATTCCATAGGATGAACTAATTGAAAAGCTAACAAGAGAACGAGACATGGCATTACATGAGCTAAATGAAGTTACTACACACAAGAGCAACCGTTTGAGAGCTGTTGATGGAATGGATGATGTTCCTCTATGGGAAGCACTGAAGGGTTCATCCAAGGTAGGCATAATCAAAGTCTGGAAACTCTTTCCTAGAGTATAGTCTTCATTCCATATTGTGTGCAGTGGCTATTCCAGGCAGGAGTGGAGTGTCAAGGAGCTTGAGCCCCTATAAGACATCCCAACCCCACACTACTTCCCACTTCAACCATGACTTTTAGATCAAAAAAGATGAAATAATAGTTTTTAACAAAATAATTAGGGCATAATGTTTGCTAAAACATCTCAGAATATCTTGGTTTTTTGCACTGGTCCTCACTAGGGCTTTTGCCACTAGACCCTGCTAGTAAATTGTCAAATCCCCCGTCAGATAGCTTAGGCTAATCTGATATACAGTATTTGTCTAGACAACAAAAATATTGTTTTTGACGTTTCTTTGTGTACTACATTTCTTGCTCTGACACTTGCCATTTTGAGGAGTGCAAAGGTCTAAATCTGCACCTGCTGTATCAAGATGATTTCCAAGAAAGAATAAAGATGATTTGAGTGAAACCTAGAAAGAATGAGTTTGCACACGATGAATCATTGACACGCAAGCGGCTGGAAAAACACTCAACTTCCTAAAAAAGCTTATAAATACAGTTAAAACTCATTGTTTGTACGACGAATTAGAGACGGTCCTAGTTGGAAACTGCTCTGATTGGTCAAGAAGGTTTGGTTGAGGAATTTCTGGAATGTGCGAGAGTGAATTATGATTGTTCTACCCTGGGAAATGTGGACCTTAGGTAATTGGGGGGCCCCGTACACACCTGTTGCACCCCATCCCCTTGCGTACAGGCCTGGGTGATATCCATACTTATTCTTTTTGTTTGCATCAGTCCAACTGTAGTTATTAAAATTATTTTATGATGAATAAAGAATTAGTAGTGTAGTAATAGTAATTTATGTGTGTTTTATTTACAGACTGAAATCCTTGAGGTCTTCCGAGCCGAGTCATTGGAAGCAAGTCGTCAGAAGCAGTACTTGGACCAGCTGTACTCGCTGATGTTAGAGAATGCGCCACAACTTCTAGGCAATCTAGAACAAGAATTAGATGCTAGGTAGAAACTTATACCAACTTAATCTTGAACATTTGCTATATTATTTTTTATTGTATCATGACTTTTAAAAAATTGTAAATTATTGTCTTTATAAATTAATATAAATAATGGTTCAAGAATTATTGTAGCAACATTGTTTTGTTCCTTTAGAATTTTCCATATTATTAATACTGTATATTATTTTTATGTTTCCTATAATTTACAGTAAACAGACTAATGTTTGTAACTGACTTACCAATTATACCTTTTAACAAAATGTGTTTTTTTTTTGTTTTTTTTTTACAGTGGCTTATCCGGAGATGAAGAATTTTGTTGAACAAAAGGTAGAGAACTTGCAAGATCATAAACAAGAGTCTTCGAAATGGTTTTATTCTTTATTATTTTCTGGCAACCATCACAGTCAGTGTGTCCCCCATGTTTTCAATTATGACTTTGTGACCGATTCACTTTTCCATGATTGTCAGGCATACTCTGCAAACTTTGTCCTACAACTCAGTCGACAATAATTCTCTCTTTCACCGATGTGACGCTATTACGTCACAGATTTTACCATTAATGCGTAATCAGAAGCGTTTCATTCATAGAGCTTGAAAAAACTATTTTGAAGATACTTAAAGCTCGTAGTTTTGTTATCAAGATACATGCTAACTCGGCCAGACCGAGATGTTGGTGCCTAATTGTGTGTCAGTACTGTGGCCACCAATGATGTGCTAAGGTAGCAAAGTGCCTGGATCATCGACGTTGCTTATATTTGAAGCTTCCATCACACATCTTGCTTTTAAATAAGCCAAGAAAACCTAGTGTGCCCAAATTTATATAATTTGCAGAAAAAAAAAATTGTTTTTACTGTCATGATGTATTTGGACAAAGTCATTTAAAGAAAATCTTCGATTTTACTCCTATAATAAATATGAGGCATGCCATTCCAAAACCAGCGTACTGTCACTAATTTTTGAACTGAGTAATTAGCATAAGAAAGTGGGAGTATTGTATACTTTAGTACAGACAAGCCATATTACTTCTACTCATAACTTAAGCAATATTAAGTCAATTTCAGTAAATGACCCATCAATTTAAAGCATATAATTTGGAGAATATGAATATGTTAAAAAGTCAATTTTTATTTTTTGGTCAGTGATGGTGGTTTTGGGATGGCTAACCTCATGTGCTAGAACATTCAAGTCCTTCATAGTCGTTGACACTTTTAAATGTTCAACCTACCTCATGTATTAAATATTTAAAAAAAATTAACTGCGATCTCTACTACATTGTTTTAACTTGCGGGACATGCGGTTCTTTCTGATAATTTACAGCATGGTTTAGTTCAGTCTGTGCCATTTTGAGTAAAGAAAATACTGCGTTGAGAAAATAAATGCCAACTACCATAGGTGCTCGAATAAGTGTCGCACTCGAATAAGTGCCGCACTCGAATAAGTGCTGCTCTTGAATAAGCGCCGCGGCGCTTAATCAAGAGTATATATTACCCTGCATGTAATGAAGCACTTCGAGAAACAGAGTTTGAAATACAATGTTTACAGTGTTCAAATTAGTATACAGTGTTAAAATGAATAAATAATGTAATGAAGACACAAGCAATTCTTTATACACATTTATTTACGATGACTAGGACCTATGATAGGCCAACCGAACTATGGGAATACGTGAGATAGGTAACATGGAACGGGCATGGAAAGCACCACTGCAATATTTTTTTAAAGCCCCGCTTTGGAATAAGCGGCGCACTGAACCCTCCAAAAATGTTATATGCGCCGCGATGCTTATTCAAACATTTACGGTAATACTTAATTGGCCAATTGTGGAAACATAATCACAAAGTTCACTGACTTTTTTCTCGCAGCAACCTGTATTTACTTTGCTCCACTATAGTAAGTATTTAGGACTGTATGGATTTAGCATCAGGTATATGGTATTATCTCACATATTGGTGGTGTACATAATGCTCTGTACATACGTTTATTTTCACCAATGTGCGACAAAGATCACTATTTGTATAGACTTGTTAAATTTTTATTTGAATTATACAAAGCATGAGCAAAAGGATTTGATTGAACTCAGTACATTTTTTATGGAATATATTATATGTGCCAAATTTTTGCTTGATAAATGAACTATATGTAAATTGTTGTTTGAACTTTCAAATGAAATAATATTAAATACTTTATAAAATGTTATGAATGGTAGTACTCAGAATGTAAAGTAGAAAAATAAATAATTTTCTAAAAAAAATATGTTACCAATCTTTTCCTAATGAGTTATGTGATTGGTTGAAATAATAAAGTGGTGTTTGTAACACCAATGAGATAATTTGTTATAAAAGGTTTGCATGACCATTGTCATGATGGCAGTTCTACTTATATAAGAATAATATTTAACTGAAAATTGAAATTTCCATGAAAGCATGAATTTATAAAACTATATTATATAATACTGTAATTTGAAATTTCTTAAACCTCTTGCCATATTATTTCTATGGTGATTACAAAAGTTGAAATGTTTAAGTGTGTGTGACTGTGTAACAAAAGAAATATGTATTTTCAATTTCAAGTAAATATAAAATTAATTTAACGTCTTCCGTCCTTATCAACTAACTTAACTTCCTCTGTAAATGATTAGAAATATTACAAATTTGTCACCGTATATTTTCATTATTTTATTAATTTTATAGTTGTATAGTAGGTTTTTTTAGGATTTTTGCTGCATTACAGTGTACTTATAATTTATTTAACCGCTGCTACTTCTTTACATTGATGCTACTTTTCTTAATTTATAATAATTTGAACAGGGTATTTTATGTTCTCTAATGCTTTGTGTTATCAATGGTGTTCAGGGTGTATACAAGCATGTGTTCTTATTTTAAGAAGTTGAGCAACGCAATGGCAACCAAGGGTAATATTTAAAAACTATCTTTCTTAATGAAGGTATACTTTATACTATTGTAATTTTTTACTCAATTTAGTCTTTAATCTTTTGTTTTTTTATGTTTTCGTTGGTACTATTTATCAACATACACAAACAATTATGAAAATAAAATTTGTAAATTACAAATATTTTTGATAATAATATTATCATTTTAGAACCTTCACTGTTTAAGGTTGAAAACATATTAACTACTAACAAGCAAAAATGCTGTGCATTGCGCCTCATAGAAGTGCTACCAACCATTTTGAGAGATATATTAAATTGACTGAAGTTAAATTAAGAGTAAACGCACCAGTTCAGCTGGAAAATGGGATGTGTAAGTGTATACTATATATATATATCGAATGTGTGGGGTGTATGTGTGTGAGGGAGTGAAGGTTGAGGGCAATTGCTTTTTAAACTTGGAGCCTGCCTAGACCAGCTATTGCCACCTGTACACTTTCATTTCTTTCATTCTTTTAGCAATCTCATCTGTTTATATCAAATTGTATATTACTTTTAAGTTTGTAAAATTGTTATCCGTTTTTAAATGTAAACACGTTTTTGAGCATCTGATCAAACCCCATTAGGGTGTTAATTTAGGTTAAAGGTTGAAGCTGAGTGTCTGCTGTACATGAACATTTCTTGTGCATGTAAAAATACACATTTTAATTATAATCATAGTAATATATATTTGTATGTATATAATAGTACATTTTGTGATTCACAAAGAGTCGTTCACAGTGGCATTGATGCCAACTATATCAGGCGCACTTTGGTGCTTGACAGTGCGCCCTCACTAATCGTCACAAATTTGTAGACGAGTAGGCGTACTACCTGCTAAATAACCCTTCAGAAACTTTATTCACCTTGGTCATCCTTATTTGAAGCATACTATTTTGCATTGAGTTTTATTATATGTTAGCGGTGTATGTCAGTTAAATGGCGATTAGAATTTTGAATAAATTATTTTAAGCCATGCTGCAATGTAATCTGTTAACCTTGCATTTTAGTGGAAATGTAAATTCTCATTTTAATCAATATTATGTGTCTTTTTTTATTACGTGTTAATTCAAGCGATACACTATAAATGATTCCTTTTAAATAATTACGTAGAATTGATTATTTGGTATTAAACCATGATTGTAGTTTATTTCTATAAGACAAAACGTTTATAAGAAAGTGTAACAGGATAGTATTTTGAAATTTGATCGATGTCCGATTTGTACCGTATATTTGAGCGTATAAGCATACCATCTACGTAATACCACTTGATTAGTCATCTGAGCATCTTCTCAATTCTCTCTGAAAATTGGCCGTAACTTTTATCACAGTGACAAGTCCGAAAAATTAATTTACTCAATGTTTTGAGACAACGTGGGTGGCTGGTTGTATACGCGCTAATAGTACGGCATTGTGTTATTTAATCACGGAGAGTATAACTATGCGTAAATATTTCTGTATTCATTTACTTAATTGCTTCGTTATTAAAATAAATACAGAATGCGATTATTATTGAGTACATTTCTTGCTAATACCGGTACTTTTTCTTACAAATCTTAAATTTACCTCTGAATGTCTTCAGTACCTGCACTTTAAGCATTGAATGCTAATAAAGTTTTTGTCAGCTTTTAGATTAATGTTTCCCACTATTCTGGAGAAGAATCGCGATTATTTACGTCAAGTAGCACTCACTCCGCCGACGGAATAGCGAACGCCACCCATCAAGGTATGTGCAAGAGGTCGCCATTACTGACGGCAATTTTATTTAATTAATTTAAATTAATATAACATCAACAAACACCAAATAATCACATGCATTTTGAGTGATCAGAATGTACTGCAAATACTTTATGAATGTGATGTGATATTTGGGATTTTTTTTCGTAATTATTCATTGTAACAAAGGTTTCCCTATCTCGTATCTATGACTCGTCTCATCCGGAGATAACATATATTAATTAATTAATACATGTGTGTTATCGCTTGAGAATATTGCATGTGTTTATTTCGGTCAAGTGTTAAAAGACCACTGACATAGGTAGGCCTATAGTATACGCTAGAATATGGCCTAAGAAAACTCGTTACCACTAAATCAGAAAACAAGCCTATGAAATTAGCTTGAGCATATCGCTTATGTTCACGTGGATTTAGTTCAAATCGTGACCTGCCCATTCTGTTCGGTTAATCTTGGTGTCTATACAATCGCTGCATGCTATCGCCGATAGCTTTCGCCGACAGTTGCAATTTTCGGCAAGGTTGAACCTGGTTCAACTTTGCCGATTGCGTTGCAGACGAATCGGGGTGCTTTTCCGATTGCGACGGGGCAGCTAGCAATCGGCAAAGTTGAACCCGGTTCAACATTCCCGACAACTGTCTTCTTTTTTTTTTTTTTATTCATCTTCAAAAAACATGACAAAGACATTCAAGGCAAAAGGAAAAGAACAGTAAAACATTAGTCATTCCTTATTTATAACATTCTCATTTCATTTTTAAAAATCATTTTTTCTCTTCTAAATATCATTCTAAATATGTGGAACTACCTTACTTTAATTTAACGTTAAACACAATAGTAGTAGGTATAGCCTCCTTTACTTTAAACAGAAAAACATTAGAAATGCGTATACAAGGTAGAGGTACGTCCGATTATTTGCACAATTTCAGTTAAAATTCAAGCCCATAACAATGTTTAATTTATAGCAAGTTAGAATCTAAACACACAATCCACAGAAGATACAAAATATTTTCAGTGTTGCTCCCGCAAAAAGTATTCTAAGATGAACTATGAAACATATGCAAAAAAAACAGACAAACTTTAAATGGGAAGGAGTACAGTATATGGAATTAAATTATTATTCTGAAAGAATTCAGAAAAGGTTTCAATAATAGTTTCTTTTAACTAACAATACAAGGTCTTTTTTTGGGGGGGGGGGG